CAAAGTTCTGAAGTGCATTGTATATACTTTCAGCAGCTGCTTTTCAAGCCTTGCCTATCATTATGACATCTTTTACAGGGACTGGGCAATGATGGCAACACAATTTTCTGTGCCAATAACTCGAGAGATGGTATGTGTTAATTTTACCATAGGACCCGAAGTCGTGCCTTACATGAGAGAACAAGGTCGTGCTGCCCATACATTAGGATGGATTATAACAGTCTTCATAATATTACTGATGATCTTCGAAATCTACAAAATTACTAGGGTTAGTAATGTTAACAGGAAATTCCAGGAAGGTTATTAAAAGGTATTCATTTGTTTTCATCATAAGGTCTCTAGCTCCATGTAAACAATGTAAATTGTGAAAAACAAAGAGTATTTGCATAATGTATTGAGATAGCAACATAACTTACTATTTCAGTTAAGGCTACGGTACTTCAAGACACTGACAATCATTTACTGGATGTGCATGGTGATGAGTTTCCTCTTTGTAGGAAATTACACATCCTGTTCATTTGAAACCTATATTCGAGAGGTAATATTTCTTTGTATTTCATGAAATATCTCCGTTCAGATTCAAACTTTTGAAAATCATAATAATGTTCAAAAGAAGAGTATATAATAGCTGATAAAGAAAAATCCCCAGGAGTTTTCTCTGGATCCCTATAGCCCCAAATTAGATTACACGCTGTTGTTTAGATGACGAGACACCGACAGATAAAAGCATATAAGGCCTCTTTCATACTTGTCCAATGTTCCTCCAGGACATCCAGTGGCTGGCTGGTCTCGCAGCCATCATCCTGGCGTGGCTCCACCTTCTTGTCCTCGCCTGGATACACCCACGCAATCCCTTCGTCTTCAACTTCAAGAGGTTCTTCCGAGCCGTGCTGGCCATCGTCCCTCCCTTGGCGATCGTGGGAGTCGCCGTTCACGCCGTGCACGAGATCGGGTCGAAGGGCAGCCTCACTTACTCGGACAAGTGGCAGGTCTTGGTGAACAGCTTGGTATCCGTGCCGATGATGGCGACGGCGGTGGTCGTGGGCCTGGCCGCCTTCATATACCTGGACGCCGTCAGCTCCGGCCCGAGAAAGCGCGACCGCAATTTAACCGAAGGGAACATCTGGATGACCTTGGACTTTGACATCCTCTACCCTTTCCTGAGGAAGAGGTTCTACGCCAACTGGATCTGCAAGACGCCAAAGGAGCGCGCTAGGGACAGTTTCAAAAATCTGTGGAGAATTTTGGAATGCAGGAATGACGATGACTCCAAGGACTCATCCTGGAGGGAGTTGAAGGACACTGAAGCGAAGATGCAAGAAATGAGCATCACGCTGAAAAACATAGAACAAATGATGAAGAAGAGAATAAATGAATCCTAGATGATGAGAAGGGAAGAAAGAGAAAAGTATATTCGTCCTTCTAAACTGTATATTTATGTGCAGTATTATTGAAAGTTAGAAGACACACTGGAGCCCTAAGAACAAGGTCCCATAGCATATAATACATATGTGTATATTTGATTCTTTGTTAGGACATCTCAAGATTATGCTGTGATGTAAGAGTATGGGGCATTTAAGCCTTTTCTCTAAACATCTTATATAATCAGTGATACGTGATAAATGTTGAAGGTGGTACCACAACATTGCGCCAATTATCTGCCAAATCAGATCAATGTTATGGTTAAATAAGAGAAACAAATATCAATGATTCTTTTTGTATATGGAGTCTGATTCATTCTATTCTATTATATGCTGTTTTTTCGTGTGTGTATAAATACTGTATACACACACACACATTCACTCATACACTCACTCTCTCTCTCTCTCACACACACACACTCACACAAACACTCATAGATACATATACAGTATATGATTCTCTTTGTTAGAAGGAATTTTTAATTATAAATGAATTTGATCTATCAGTATTGTCTTTCTCATCTGTCGAATTGTTGCCCGTTAATACTGTCTGCAGATAACCCTCATCAGCTCACTGAATGGATTTAACTCGTATTGCTGATTAACCAAATGTCCTTGTCATGCCCTTAGAGCTGATGCTGCTCGACTGCCTACCAAACTGTATTTATTTTCGTTCTCATTTTTGGCCATTGTCTTCTCGGGATCATACAAAGAGTGAAAGAGATGGCTGTACGTGGAAGTTAAGCGAACCCTAATAATCCACATTGACTGTTTTGCAGAATGCATTTGGGTTTCCGGGTCATAGCAGTAGATCCAGCTTTCATCACAGGTCACCAGAGCCATGAGTACTCTTGGAGTTGAATCGATAAGCTCGACCATCTCCCGGCTGTCGCTAACACGTCTTTCAGCGCTCTTGAGACAAACTTCGCGCAAATCTTTCGCATGTTCAGTTCATCATGGATAATTTTGCGTACAGTTCCCACACTGACTTCAAACTGTTCACTTATTGTCTCTATTGACACTCGAGGGTCCTCATCCATAAAAGTACGAATTCTCCCAACCAGCTCCGCCCTTATACT